TCTTATCGAGTGTCTCACGACTGCTTCGATATTCTGGTCACTCTTCAGGTTCGTATTTCCTTTTTTCAAGCTTTTTCTCAATTTAGAACCAATGATTTGCCACCACATGAATATTTTTTTTTACAACTTCCAACGTGGATTGTCGAAATCCTTAAAATAAGTTCGATCCATGATGACATGCAGTTCACACTTGTCCATAATGGCTTCCTTCCCATAATTGAAGAAATGCATCCTTGATCAATTTTCAGCGATGAAAACAAGTACGACCTAGTGAGTTACTGGAATGAAACTGGTTTAACAGGAGAAGAAATAACGGCTTTGTATCAAAAGACGCTTAATGATCAGCTTGCACTGTTGTATCTCAAAGAACAGGAGAAAGGGGGGGAAACGATCACTGCAGTTAAAAAGGTACCAAAAGTATATCAAGCACGATTTTATTGTGTTATTAGAGACAAAGTTATCTTAATTTCTCAGTTTGGATAGTGGAGAGGTAGATTCAACTTCTCCCAAAGAAGAAGAAAAAAAAAATAACCGAATAACGTCTTTGAAAAAAACAGCTTTAACACTACATTTGGATTACTGTTGGGTTAAGACATGGATCATTGAAGAGCGTAGGTCTGTATATGTACATCTATCCAAACTTGGACGGACGTAACAAAAGTAAAGGTTTCAACTTATAAAATAGTTCGTTCACTATTCTTTATGATTTTTTCAACGTCATCCAGCCAAGAGATCTAGAATCCATATTTATTTACTCAACCATCAATTTTCAGCTTGCCAAACTAGCGTTCCAAATTTCTGTGTACCAAGGTGATGCAGGGCATATGACAGCAGTTGAACCACTTCTCCAGAGAGCATTGTATTTGCAGGCAAGCAATAAATTGAATGATTGGTTTCTCTTTTCCTGGCTAGCTTACTGAAGTGCTGGTTATTTCAGCCAGTCTTTCTGTGGTTTTGCTCCTTCCTAAGAGTTTGGGTCTCATATGTCCTTAATGATTCCGAGTTAGATTTACTTCCAACTTTTGTTTTGTGTGTATTTAGAAGGCCCACTGAGAAGCTCTCCAGTCGGTCGATAATTAGTAGGGGAAAGAGGGGGGGTACACCGCATACTGCTGTATATTTAGTCAGTCCCCTTATCGCCTTTTATTACAGAGGTCAGCTTATTCTGAGGAAGAGATCCATAGTGATGCAAATGTAGCAATGGATTATTGTGAAATGGCCAATGCATTAGCTTGCTTGCTTGTGGATACCGAGCGGTTCGATGATGCCGAACCTTTGCACAGAGAGGTCCTCGAGCTCGGCGAAAAGTAAGATGTACTGTTGGTATCGTGTGTTCATACAGTCATAGCTGGATTATTTATGTACCATATTGAAACTTGTGACACCTAACTTAGCCTATCACAACGCTATTATAACATAACCAAATTAAAGCGCGCACTCTGATTGGTCAATTTAGCGTCCCCCATTTGCCCAAGGGTGTACGCTGCTGACGTGAGCAAATGCAAAGACCATTTTTCCGCACGTGCTCATTTTTTCTGGTCACGCAAGATTTGTTAAATAAAAGGGAACTCTTTTGCTACAATGTATCAATGTTGTGTTATAAAACAAATGGTAAACACCACAGCGTACACTATTGAGCTATGGATGCACTTGGGAGGTTTGCTAAGCACTCAAGAGGGTACAGTCGCTCTCGGCTATCGCCTCGCGCGACTCTTACGCTTCTTTCGTGGTTAGGAACCTCCCGCGTGCATCCATAACTCAATAGTGTACACTGTGGTGTTTACCATTTGTTAATTACGCTAAACTATCGCCTACCTCTCTAACGAATTTGTTGTAGCTCAGTTGGTAGTATTTGATCGAGAAGCGGAGAAGGGGTCGAGTCTTCGCGGAAGACCCAGATTAATCTTTGTCCAACGAAGTTGTCTGGGATCTTTCTATATTGTGACACGCTCAAATTGCTGTAATTTCTTTATTTGGTGGTTGAATCAGGTTTGCCGATGAATGGTCTAGAGGCTGGTCAAGAGTAGCAACTTCACTTCACGGTTTGGGTGTGCTATATTACAGGACGAACAAGTTCCAAGAGGTATGAATGTCTCATCTTCATTTAGTCTGCAGTCGAGACGCCAGACCTTTGGAACCTCGATAGTAATCTTACTTATTTTGTGTTTCAGGCTTTGGAATATTACAATAGATGTCTTGAGCTTCACCGACGAACCTTGGAACCGACTCATCATCTGATTCCCGACACAATGAACAACATTGGAGCTTTGTATAAGTCCATGGAACGTTGGGAGGACTCTGCCAGAATTTTAGAGAAAGCCTTGGAGGTAGGGATAATTGAACCCACTAACGATCTAACGAATGTGTCTGTATCCCTTTTGGGATTTGTTATAAACTATTTCAAAAACAAAACAAAAAACATGAAACAAATTAAAAAAAAATTGAAACCCTCAACGAGCTTTCCCTTTAACTGAAAATAGAGTTTATGATGTATTCCTTGCTTATGACAGGATGTCATTGCGAAAGTCCAATGCTTTAATAGCTTGGATCTCATGTTAAATGCAAATTGAACAGCGTGAGGTACTTTTGGCGTTTTACAATTGTATAGTCCTTATCCAAGAAATCCTGCATTCTCAAAGGGGTATTTTCTTATACAAATAAATGAATGAATGTAAGAAGTTTTTTTTGGCTCTCATGTAATACTGGGAAGATGTATGAAGAAGCATATTTTGGCCAGCTTCCGCCTGATGTGGGTGGTACGTTGCTGAACCTTGGTATGGCCTATGCGAGGATCTACGACAGGAACAAAGCTGAGCCATTGTATCTAAGGTAAACTTGCCTTTCTTTATTTTTGCTCGTTCTTCAACCTTTAATATTCCTTTATCGTATGAATTTCTATAAAAAGTTCATGAATCAACAAGAGTATTTTAACTTGGACAGAGTTAATGGGGTTGGTCGCGACACAGCTTTTAGCCAGGGTGTACTCCTGACAAATCATAGTAGTGGTGTGCCGCCCAATTCTTCAAATCCACACCCGTTTTCTTACTTGGCCTCTAAACTCCTTACCTTTGATTTCATCTGCTTTAATGATATATTTTTTTTCATTCCTTTTTTATTGCTTTGGAGTTGAATAGATAAAAAAAACCACCTGCTCTCGTAGTTTTTTTGGAAAGCTTACCCGTTTTAAGACTGTCATGGTCAATAATGTACCCCCTCTTTCAGACCAAAACGGTTAAAAAAAAAATACACTATTGGGCAGCAGATTGCTATCCCCCCAGGGTTGTATGAAAAGGAATTGGCGTCATCTTCTCAGAACAATGTCGTTAGTATCAGTGCTGCTGAGGTTGCTCTCAACTTTTTCCATATCTTTTTTATTGGGCCTGGCATAATTCATAAATGTTTTGAATCAGTTTGTGGGTTGAGAGTGGAGCTACTTTCAACACGACTAACTTTGTTGATTTATTTCAGAGCTTTGGACATCCGCACTAAAGCTTATGGGCCGGACCATCATGACGTAGGTCAGACTTTACTTAGCTATTCCTCCTTTCTACTCAATTTGGATGCTAACAAGTCAGCTGAAGCCGCCATACGAGCGGCGGAGATCTTAGAGGTAAACCGATGGGCGCTGTATTATCATTGGGCGCTTTATTATTATTAGGCAATCAACGCGAGAAGCAAAGTTGTCAAGGTTAATTTGATGTCTCAATGATACTATCATCATTGTAACAACAAAGTGTCTGACAGCAATCCCGTAAAGCCAATGATGGATTTAAGGGTCTCAAATGTTAATCTCATTCTGGTGTGTTGCAAGGACGGAGCAAGGGCGTAGCTAGGAGAGGTTCTGAATGCCCGTGAACCCTCCCCCCCCCCCCTTTGTAAGCCTTTTTTTTGTCACATTAAGTGAAACACGGCAGGAAGGTCGACATGACAATCTGGTGGGTACCCTGTTTGACACATTGTGACTCCCCCTTTGCAAAAACCTGGAGTTTCCCTCCTGTCAGAAGACTCAAGAGAAGTTCCATACGGCGCATTTTGGATTACTTCACAAAGATGAGGTTTTTTTTCTGTCTCCAATCATTTTAGCCTAATTATTTGTCAATCCCATCCTCAATAATATGAGATGGCAATAGGCCTTTGCCCCACTCATGTGGCCCTCAAAGGCACCAACCTCGGCATTTCTCCAAAAGCTTTTCAGTGAACCTTTAATTCGAAAACAGTAGCCAAGGGGACGCCTTAGTTACACAGAATTAAATCTTAATCTTAAATCTTAATCTTAACGATTAGTGGAAAGATCTTTTAGCCCGTTTAAACGGCCAGCTAATTATGAAAATACCTTCAGTAATAAAATGAGGTCTCAAATTTAACCATATCCGTTGCTGTTTTCTTTCTAGAAATCTTTAGGTCCAGAACACATTTTTACACTGAACGCTCAAGAGAATATAGCGTTGGCCTATGCCGTGGCTGGAAAATTTGATGACGCTCATCCGTATTTCAAGAAAGCAGGTTCGTGATTTACCATGATTCATCTCTAACGTTAGGGCTTGTGGATTTCTCTGCTGAACTTTCTGACCTAAAGCCTACCATTTTTAGTTTCTGCAATTGAGCGATGAGAAAGATTTTACGCCTCAGAATGATAGTAAATAGGATTTTCGGATCTATGACAAACAATATTAACGGAAAAAGGATGAAAAAAAAATTAACAATGACACAACCTGATACGTTTTACAGCTCGATAATTGGCCTTTGCGACCACACCGGACGTTGTAACCGGACCAGTAGCGCATAACATGCATTTCTCTCGAGATAGATATAACACTACGTCTACTGAGCTCATTAATTTTCACCTCATGCATTCCTGAATTTTTTTCCTTCGCTGGAGTATCAGTGCTTTCTCTAAAACCTACAAAATTCACTTTTTCTTTTAAGGATTAACCAAATACCAAAAGGATCAAATGAATACTTCAATTCCACCGCTGAACGCTGCCATGGCAGATTATTACCTCAACAATGGCCATCATGAGGAGGCGAGACAGTTATTCGAAAGACTGGTAATTATACCGAATTAAAATGATATCAACTTATATTTGAACATGAACAAATTAGCAGGCATTTCATTCTCTTTCCTATTAGTATTTATTTAGTCGCGGCATTCCTGATGCGTTTCTTTTTAGAAGCATTATAAATGCTCCAGAAAGTTAAGAACACGGATTTGAAATATTGAAAAACGTGTGCTTCAAATGGTTCTTGATGCTTCGTGACTGATTCCCTCACACACACACACACACACACACACACACACACACACACACACACACACACTCTCTCTCTCTCTCTCTCTCTCTCTCTCTCTCTCTCTCTCTCTCTCTCTCTTTTTCTTTTAAATTTTATGAATGAGGGATTGTATGGGTAAACGTTTTTGTCAGACTCCAATGATAACGTCTCATAACTAGAGTTATTTATGCACGTATTAGTAAGACAAACAAACTTGGTAACATAAAGATTTGGGAGGTTTTCGACAGATAGTCGATGCGAAGTAGACATTTATGTTATTCGAAAGGAAAAAGTCTTTGAAGTCTCTTTTGTAGTGACAAACGGTTCTCCCCACAAAAAAGCGTTGTTTGTCTTTGAACCCTAATTCTTGGAAACCCGCAATACATATATTGCTCTAAATCATTCTGAATACTAGTTACACCTACCAGGCATGAAAAGTGGAAGCAACAAAAAGCAAACTGTCAAGGAACCTCAATTCATTTTTATGATTTGCTTTTGGTCAACTCCNCAACCCTAGGCATTACACCATTGAGGCATTTCGAACAAAGAGTGAAAAAAACAGACGAGGGGAATTGATTATTTCACTAAATACCAACAAAACGCGCGAAGCGATCACCACCAAGCCTCGGTTTGACGCTGCGAGAAACTGTTTTGACGTCATCGCGGATCAAATGTACAACCGTTAAAAGCTCATTTGCAACTGAAGATGACATGAGAAAGTCGAAACATGTCTTGTAAATTTAAACTCAAAGTTGTTGTTTCTTTTTTTGAAAATAGCAATTCTTTTAAAGAGCTTAACACTTTTTTCAACTGCTTAACTAAGAAACGCTGGGTGAATGGATGATATGATCACGCTAACCTCATGTTATCGTAATTTTTTGTCAAGCTAGTTTGCTATATGATGTAGAGCTATAAAGTGATGACAAAAGTTTTTAAAATATTCATAACTAGTTGTCGTAAAATGAGGCAGGTAGTCTAGTTTTTAGCAGTCTATCTCAGAGCAGAGGACGATTTTCGGGCCCAGTAGGGGCAAACTCACTTTCCTTATCAATGAGAGCCCAGTAATACAGAAGAAGCGATTACATTTTCCATTTAGTATCTTTCTAAGAATTAGTGATTTCAGACTTTAACCGCTGTTATGTTAGTACGATTAATTCTTAATAGACTTGTCGAGAGGCTTAGTAAAAATGATTTATATATTTCAACCAATTAGTTTTTTTCGTGCTGGCACAAAGGCTAAACATATCAAATTAAAACAAAAAACTATCAGGTAACACCCAGCTCTCATTGGTTTAGAGAAAATCAGGAAGTTTTTACCATAAGAAAAACTTCAAAATAAGGTTGTTGCATCAATTTGCACATACTTCGGAAAGTCAGTCGTAGACATCTGCCGATCTGCGCGATGAATAAGTCGATATTTATCTTTGTTTTGATACTTTGGTGCTTCATGATGTTTGCTTCTGTCTCATCGCGAGGTTAGCTTTACCATTACTCATTTTTGAGCAGGGATAAAGAAGGGACAGTAGTCTTTCTTAATCACAGTTAACTTTTAACACCTATTCGTTATTATTCGTTTAAAGGATTTGTTTTTTTTTCTCTCTCTCTCTCTCTCTCTCTCTCTCTCTCTCTCTTTCTTTCTCTCTATATATATATAGATATATATCTTTTTTTTTTCTTCTGTCTTTTTTTCTTATTGTTTTCAGATAGGCACAGATTTTGCTTCAGACAGAGATTTCGCTGCCCTAGACTTATTAGATGAAGATCTACTCGGGGATAATAGACCCACGAGACCGTATGAAGAGACAGTGGAATATGGCATTGAAAAGTAATAAAAATAAGTCCTGCCGTCGATAAGGCCGAGAGTGGCAATTTAATTTATTTATCGAGCTTAGTGAAGTCTTAGGGCAATTTTTAAGGAGGTATTCCGCCCGATTCTCCAATTCCACCCCCATTTTCAGACTTGGCGTCTAATCTCCTCAGTTTTAAGTTGAAAATTCAACTCTAATGATATATTTCCATGTATTTTTTTTTTAATAAAGAAACTGAAATTTACAGAGACTATTTTTGATTGCAGGTTCCCCAAAAGCGCAATGATTTTTGGGCGTCTGCTTCCAAAACTAGCCAAAAGTGGAGACTCACAGAGAATATTAATGATTTTAAGAAAAGGTGATTTTGGTGCCGAGAGGTACAATGAGTCATATCTGAGTTTTATTGAAAATCAGCATAGGAAACAAGGCCTTGATGTAATCCAGTCTGCACATGAGAAATTTCCAAGTGACACGGTACGTTTTTAAGATGACGCCTATTGGTTTTAAAAATCATTTTGGAATTAGTGAGAGTCACTGGAATCAGTGCCATCATTTGTAGGCTTTTGGTATTTAATGTGCTCTTTCTTTTTTAACTTTGTCTTCATGACCAATTCCAAGGATTCGCTTCTAAGATAGGTTCTAGCTAAGATTCAAATGTCTTTGGATGATGCACTTGTTATCTTCATATCATTTCAGTTCGTTTTTATCACAGTTTATTCCTGTTTTCAACAGTTTACTTTATTTTCATCATACTCATAGATAATTCTTGAGAATTTGGCAAAGTGCCACGCCTTTTATGAGGACTTCGTTACGGCCTCCACATACTTTGAAAAGCTACTCGACTTGAAACCCGATGATCCCAACGTCATGAATACTTTTGGGAGAGTATTAGCTATGACAGGAAAGATAGAGGAAGCCAAAAAAATGTTCGAAAAAGGATTAAACTGCGCCGAGGCTAAAAATGAAGAACAACTTATTGAGCAGGTTTGTGCAAGAAATTATATTCAGTAATATTGTTTTAGCAGCAGAGAAACTATCTTATGAAAACTAAATTCTTCATGGAAATTTATTTCAGTATTGTCAAAGTTCGATAAAGTTGGTTCAACAAAGTATAAAAAGTTCAAGGAGAACTTTGAGGGTCATGAGTTCGTTTTACTTTTTTTGGAGACTTGACATTTTTCAAACTTCAGTTATCTCTAACGTACTGCGATGTCATCGTAGCAATCGGAAGAAGGCATTTCGATCATTATAACTACATTTACAACAATGAGCAGAGTCTCAGTGATCTTGCTGATAAACTTAGGATATGATTTGAACTTTCGTAATGGAAATTTACCACTTACTTACAGGTGTTTTTCCAACTTTTGGATTGCAGTTCAAAGCGAATTTAAAACTCTTAAACGAAATGTAAGAACGAAAGAAACAGATATATCTTGGGTCCAGAAGTGTATGGAAACGTTACAATCCATGCAGACGCGGAAGACATGTCGCTGAAGTGAAACGATGGTACACTGAGACCACAACAATGGTGAAGATCATCCATAAGGCCCAAGGCCCGACATCCTTTTTTAAACCCATTGGGTTTTCAGCCTAAGTGCCACTACCCCGAGCTGTGAAGGCGAATGACAAAAACAAAACTGAATTACAGACAAACATAGCAACTTCAGTATCATTACAAAGAAAAAGGAAAAAGTACCCCCGCGGTACCAGGTTGATGACACAGAAACAGCCACAAAGAAAGAACGAAGAAAGACATGATGTAAAGGAACTAAACCAGGGAAAGAAAATTGTAATTCCTTGATCCACCGGCTCATTAGGTCCTAAACCTAGCGAGGAAGGTACGGTTTTGTGAAGTGGAGCCTAGGGGAAACAAAGAAGTAAAGTGTAAATAAATCACAGTTTGGGTTTTAGTGGATACAAATTGCAAAGTTTTACTTCTAAACTTAAGAATAAACAGTGTAGGAGGTAGAGGTACCTGGGTTTCAAGCAACACTAACCCCGGGCCCCTGGGCCCCTCTAACCTTCTCGTCAGAAAAAGGGATGATTTAGAGTGGAGAAACAACCTGATATAAATTTGAATGCCACTTACACAATATTCAGTGCGGGGGATTCTAGAGGAAAATTATTCCTATGTTCTAATCGAGAATACTGTTAAACTCTGGAACAGTTAGGTTTGCGTAAATAGTAAAAGATTGTCTTCGGAATAACTACTTAAACGTATGTTACTTCAGATTTTTAAAGGAAACATAACGCATTTCTCGTTTGCAAGAAAAGCCCGCTCTCTTAATGACTGGCATCAGTATGCGAAATTTTAATTACTTCAGTTATCTTGTTTTGTAAAGAGTTCAGTCAACCTTAACTCCTTTTTTTACATCAACATATTACTGACATTATTCACTGAAATCTTTTTTTAAATCTTTTTTTAAATCTTTTTTTACCAGTGCTAACTTCTAAAGGCCTCCAGGACACATTAGGGACCATGACACATTATTGCAGTATAACTCTTAAGTCAATAACCTATTTAGAGAATATTCCATCCTTGAAAATGGTCTCTTTATAATAACATCCGTAGTTCATAACCCCACAGTGCATCACCAGTCGCTGAAATAAATAAAGGCTGATAGTTTCGAAAGAAACTGTTTGGGGCTGCGTCGGTGGGAGTAACGAAATAATTTGGATATATCAACAAAGTTGAAATGGTAAATTGGCCACCGTAATGATTACAAAAGCTGACGTTTCGAGCGTTAGCCCTTCGTCGGAGCTGAAATAAATAGTCACGAAGTAATGAAATACGATGAGATCGGAGGTATACAAGATGAATAGTAACTGTTTAACGGTTTGCAACATATGGAGAGCCTGATGCAATGTATGTCTTTTGTAGTCATCCAAAATATGTTTTTGTACTTTAAATGGAGCCAGCTGTATTATTATTATTATTATTATTATTTTGTTTTTGGCATGGTCTTCATTTAATTAAAATGGGGACAGAGGGCGGAAAGTAGTGGTTCTTGAGAATGGTCTGGTGCAGATTACCCAGTTTCTACCCTCACTGAGGGAAACCCTTGACAAGTTGCGCTTGTAGACGATGTTGGAGGATAAATTCAGAGAGAAATGAGCCAAAAAAAGAAAAGGCAAAAGAGAAGGCTTTTGTCAATTTTAGATGACAAAAGAGTATGTAAAGACACAAATGTGTGAATACACGTATGATCTCAAAGACGCCGGAGAGAACATCAATAAATTCAGATGCAAGATACAACTCGAAAGTGGTCGTCGTCTGTTTTACTTGGCACGAGTGGAACATTCTGAACATTCTGAACGAGGATCATCTTCTCTGTTGCTCTCTATGTAGCTCTTTATATCCAAACAGACACTGATTGGCAAATTGTCGTCGGTCTCTCGATGACGCGTGAAATGCTGCTGGCGTATGGATACCTAATGAATGATGAAAAATGTGATGCACGTATGAGCGTTTACACGTATGAGAAACATGATGATTCATTTTACATCCGCCAGATGTTCTCATCAGTAAAACTTTTATAAGCGAACCTGGTGTGTTTCCAAACCTCAATCTCAAATTCTCAAGTGGAGAAACATTTTTTAATTTTTGTGACGCTATACTCAAAGTCTAGTGATAATACATCTTACAGAGCACATCGTTGTGTATCCACTTCTACGGTTTAACCCCAAAACTATCACAATATTGTGCGAAAATATCTCTTCCTGTTCTCGCAAACATTCATTTACGAAAATTGTGTTGAACTGCTTTATCGGCATGATTGTTGCATTAATCAAACTCTCTCTTAGGCTAAACCTTATGATACTCGCCTTAATTTTGTCAATACGAGCGTTTATATTAAGTTTAGAGACCAATTTCACATTGTTGCGCAAAAGCATCTGAGCCATCATTGGGGACGGTAAGATTTCGTTCATGATCCTTCGGCACTTTGCGCCTGTACTAGCTGAAAAGACCTAATCAGGCGCCAAGCTGTAATCTAACCGAGCAGTTCAACCAACAGAAGTCAGGTTCAATTTTTTTTTTATATAAAATATTGCATCTGAAAGTACGAGCGTCAATTGAACAACTGCCAAAAGCTTTAAGCTCGTCAACATGAGAATTTTGTGCAAACTTTGGTCTTTACTCTGACTGGACCTTGACTGAGTTTCAACTGAAGAAGCAGACTAAACATCTGTTGTACAGGCAGTCTTACTATCATAATAAGTAGCTTGTGAGCACATTGACCTTGAAACCTTGTAATCTTTGCTCCAGATTCTACAGCAAGTCACGAGACGGGCAAATCCTCTTCGAAACTGTTCACTTAGAAAACCATACAACACAGGGTTCACCGCACTGTTTGCGTACACCAGCAAGTGGCAATAGGAGAACAGAATCCATATTCCCCTTCAAAGAAGACAAGAAAGATCACAAAATTCTGTTAAAGATGGAAGTGAAACAAACGGAATACCCATCGCCAGAAGAAAGGTGGAACAAAGGGCAGAACAATTCTCCCAGCTGTGTTTACCCTCTTAGCTTTCCATATTGAGCTTTTTACTTGACAAATTAGAGGCAAATTAGCCTGTGAAAGTGCCCCAAACTACCACAGTACATTCATTTTTTATCGTTCCAGCTATTGATTGTTGTTGTTTATGCAAACCCAGCCATACCGAAAAATTTTCCCACCTGTAGAAAGCCGTATATACATATCAAACACTTGCAAATTGAAGCAACGGAAAGAAGAACATGCATGTTTGTTTTTCCTATCTCATACAAATGTGAATATCCTCTATGGATGAAAGAAGCTGCCTGGGTTATGTAAAAAGAAAAATGACACATGGGAGAACATCAAAGGGAAGGAAGGAGCAGTAAATAGAGGTTCTTGTACAAAGAATTTTTAAACTTACTTGTACTTTTCTCCTTCTCCAAACTCATACCACAAATATGTGACGTGGTAAGGCAGAAAACACAGAAAGTACAAGATCACCACGATTATCAACATCTTTATCACCTTTCCTTTGGCTTTCGCTGTTCTAAATCCTTCCCTGTCCGACGTTTCCCTTGCAGCCTTATTAAGTTTCATTACAATTATGGTATAGAACACTGCTATGGTTGGTAGTGGTATGGCATATGTTAGACAAAATGACAGAAGAGTGTAAATATCTCTGAATGTCTCACTGGGCCATCCACCCTCCTCACACAAGAGACCACTCTGACCTTCCCCTAACTGCATCACTGCGATGATTGGTAGGCCAACTAAAGTTGCGGTCAGCCACACGACAACAATGATGAAACGCGCTTGGTATAATGTAATGCGGGGCTCGTATGGATACGCTATCGCTCGATAACGATCTGAAATTGAGAATAACTGATCAGAATACTGACTAAGCAATATTTCTTCTGTTGCAAATAGGAATAAAGTATTATCAGTATCTAGCCATAACATGTTAGATAGATCTGCATTTCTCTCGATTCTTTGGCCGCTTCTACGTAGTCTTTCAGTCGGTTAGGTTCTCATCTAATCAGTTGATACTAAAAGTGACAAAATAAGACAGGACCCTCACTGCTAATCAGACATTAGACACAGTTGATCAGAGATTTTTTAATTAAAACCAAGAGCCGAATTGATTGACATAATAGTTGAAGTTCAGCGAAGCTTCACTCCAACCGTCCTCAAAAAAGTAAATCAAAGAGGAAACACATGTCGACCCCAATAACTTGACCCACTTGTCCAAGCTAAGTCGGCGTGCGAGAGACAGCAATTGTGTTTAGCATTTTATTCAGCGAAAAAACACTTACCCAGACTTATAGCCGTTAGTGTTCCAATGGAAGCCATCACAGACATCGCCTGTGTCGTGGGAATGATCTTACACAGGACGTACCCAAATGGCCAATAACGAAGTTCAAAATAAAGAACCGTGAAGGGGATGTTTAGGATGCCGACACTCAAATCAGCCACAGCAAGGTTTGCAATGAGGTAACCTGTCACTAGGAAAAGAGAATCATCTGTGATTGACAAAAACAATCTTCTTAGGTTGGTTATATTCTTCGCTAAATTGCAATAAAGGCTGAGGTATAAAAAGGAAAGAATCCGAAACGAGTTTTTAAGAGCGGGCAAGGCTTAAGATGATTCTATCCGGAGACCAGAGTACCCTCGGTGTATTCTTCATCATAGGCGTGGGAAATGAAAATAAATAGTCCTTTTTTTTCAGCTAAAAAAAGTTTGAAACCAAGAAGGTATTGCATTATGACGAAGGCAGTGAAAAAAGGGTGAAAAAAAACAACAACACTGAAAACCATAACTTATCTTCCACCCATCAACCTGCTAACGTTTCTTTTTAATCCTCCTTTTTCCCTTTACCGAATTAAATTTGCTATCTGATGTCTATAAGATTTGCCAGGGAGTTACAAATCAAAACACTTCAATAAAGTGAGTTATCTGTTTTTGCGGAGTTAAGCCCGTGAGGATTAAAAATTTCAGTTGGAGAAAGACCATCATTTCACCACTGAATGTGACCGTCGGATCACCCAGTGTAACCGGACAGTTCCTAGAATGCGGGTACATGCAAATTTATTTACAGTCAACATAAAAACGAATGCAAATTTAACAACTTTTGCCTAGAATCGGAATATCTTTAACCCCCCGACTAACCGAATATTTCACTGTAAACTCTCCGATATACTCCATAGATACTAATCACAACTGAGGCTCAAAGGGTTTTAAAGACCGTCGAGCTTTGTATCCAGGTGACTCGGAATGACGCAAAACCTTCCCTGGCATCAATATGGCGTCCGAATGTCGACGATAAGATTAACTCCCGCTATCTACACATGTTTAATTTTATATTTTTTTTGTCCGAACAAAATTTAATTAGCACCTCTGTCATCCTTATGTTAATTAAAAGTCAATATCTCCATCGGCTTTTATGAGTCAGGTGATGGACGATTACTTCATTCAGTAACATGTCATTAACTGAGTTTAATGTTTAGAAACGAGAGCAGATGTTAATGCTAGTCGGGTTCTTCAAAGAGTAAATGCCATAAGTTTGCGTCATGTGGTTCAAAGCAATTAGGCCTAAGGACTTCAACGAATTCCCTGCTTTTATCCATTTTGTTTTTCTGAGGGCCATTTAGAATTCTGTCGTCAACCAGCAAAGAGGAATTAAAAAAAAGTGGTATCATTTCGCCCGGCTGCTTTGCAAATTTAAAGTTCATAGGGACTTCAAAAACCCGGGTTCAAACAATACTCACATGAAGTAGATTCAAGAGTTTGTTTACCAAATACATAGGGTTTCAATATCTATATGTGTAAAAGATTGCTCATGAAAAAGGAATTATCTCAACTCTATTCTACTTTGAAAACTTGGAGGCCAATTATTTACTTCTCACTTCAGTTGATTTGTCGTCAAAACGACAGATGCAAAAAAAAGGAATCACTATGTCAACCTCAGCGGAGCGTTAAAGTCCAAATGGTGCTAAATCCTGTATAACAAGGCAAATTCCAGCACCTGACTTCAAAACATACATACAGCTTATGTAAAACACCAGGCATAGTCTTTTCGCCATTATAAAAATATCCCGAAAGGTTCAAAGGAGAAATTCGAATGAGCTAAAAGCCAAAAAATAAAACCATACTCAATGACATGTATGTATTCTCAAAACGCTCCGAGAATTCTTGAGCAATTGTTGACATGTTTGATCTCTGAATGAAACTACATTGTGCCCAGTTGCTTCTTGTTTTGGTTGATCACCACGGAGACAAGAGGAATTAAAGCAATTGCATCAAGTAATTAAAAGCGATATAAAGAGATAAAATAAATTATCTTCGAAACTGATCTACCCAAATGGTTCAAGGTCAGCCAATAGAAGTGGTCAATAAATCTGGTCCCAAAGCTACACTGGCAATCCTCAAATTTGCTTTACGTGAGGAACATTTCAAATTTATTGATTGTGGAAGGCAATACTATGGCCGAGGGCAATAAGAGATAAGATTGCAGTTTTATGGAAACTTATTAAAGTATAGCACAATACTAAACAATTGTGGAGGAGTGTGTGTTTGGAATGTAGTCTTTCATAGTGTAGAATTAAACACTTCACACGGCGACAAAAGATGGCTAATAAGGCCTCTTGACTAAGATATCATGACTACAAATCGCCTAAATTCCCTCAGCGATAACAAATTCGGATTGTTGCTAATATGGTTGGCGACCGTTGGCTCACGTTCAAACCATATCAAAGATAGACTGATTTTTGGGGACATAATTCCCGATCCGCAACGTTCATTAATCTGCCATCCTTATCACGCCGTATTAGTGGATATTTTTATAAAGTATTAAAATAAAAAGATTTTCTTGTAAAGATTCTTACTCTTCCCTTGGCTCCATTGTACTGGTAAACCAGTTATAGAGGCCATGGAAACGAATTTAACAAATCAATCGATCACGAAAATATTTTTACCTTACGCGTTTCGACGTATTCCTGCTGTCCTAGTGGCTTGTATGGCACCTTGATGGCACATACAGCTGACTTTTAAGGGTAATTTGATCGAAAATAATCTAAACAAATGTGCCTATACAACGTGTTTTGATTGAAACTTTGTTAAAACAGACAATACTCTGTAAGCAATACCCTACCTCGCACATTTTCAAGTACTTCTTCTAGTGAGGCGTTTATAATTTCGGTATAGACTGGACTATGTCTATTTTACTGATCGTTTCACACACCCCAAAAATGATAGACTGTTAAAATGTTCAACCTACCTGTATGAAGCTCCCTTATCTTGTAAACGACAGCAAGTACAGATACATTTCCAGTGACGGTGAAAAGAAATATAGTTGTGTACACAATTAATCGAAAGATATTGGATCCCAGTGGCTCGGCAACGGTTAGTACCGGGGGTGTTGTTGTAGTATTGATAAGCATGTTCGTCTCATTCGTGGGCCAGATCACTCGAAGCTCTCTCAAAACAACTGAATCGACCTCTGGATACGGCTCAAGCAATTATTTCCCAACTATGCAAAGTTCACACTTGACGCTATTGAACCTTTGGAAACAATATAACTAAACGCCTGGTATAATTTTGGTTTTAAATGACACTTCCCTCTTCAAGGACGGAAACTGTCTCCTGAGCCCCTAGTAACTACATTACGTACGGTGTTCTATAAATTCCACTAAGCCATACCCCGCCGACTTTTGTCTTAAATTTTTACTTGAAAAAGCCCTCCACAAGCCTAATATTTACCCGGTTGACTTCTCTTTTATGAGATTCGCTGGTTAAGTAATTAATTTACCATAAACCGCTTTGGCGGTAGAACCTAAAACCAGAAATGGCTCTGATGTAATTAGCACCTTCGTGAGGTATTCAGCCGATGGCCGCACCTTTGATTCTATTTTTGATGTAAACAGCAGAGCTGTCAACGAAGATCTTCTCTAAAAAGAAGTAAAAATCTCTTTAAAGTAAACGAAATATAACCCATGCTTACGACCGCACTCGTGGCGTTCTAATAGAATCGGTGTACCTTGCATATCTATAAAAAAATTTCGGAAAACGATTGAGAAAGAGTACGATTACAAGATATACATAGAAAAAAAAAACCGTAAAAGAAGCGTATTACTCCAGAGGTAAGTGGTTACATAACTATGGAATCGATGAGCGAAACACGAATTCCTCAAACGCACTTTTTTCAATTCAGTAACCTGTTTTGGTAACTGTTAAAGGGCAACCACGGTCATAACTTCCAGAAGCTACAACAGATTGTCTATTTTTTGCCACGAAATGAAATGAGGAAGTGATTAAAAGTTCTGAGTAATCAGTCATCTGCTTCTAATTTGAATTCAAATTATTATTAACAAGGCTGAAATGCTGATGAGAGACGAAGAATATGATAAATGAAGGATCAACTGAAACCATGCAGCAGGGCGGTGGCCAGTTGTCAGTCATTGCTAGAGGTTTAATATCCCTGAGTTGTCATCACTATACAGTTGTTTACGAAAGCAGTAAAATAAAAAATAAAAAATAAAAAAGACAACGGTATGAATGTGATTCATTTTTCTAAAATTAAATTGCCTTTCTAAGAGGTTCAAGATGACTCGTGAAACATCTTCAATTTTACCTTTTTGACCATATAACTACTCAGTATTAATTCTGTTTGCCTCTCACCTGTTTTGAAAACAGTCACTCTGAATTTCAAATACTACAGAATCAATCATCGTATAATTGATCTGTTATTCCTTACTGTGCCAACGTCGACAGAATTCAATGACAGAAAAAAAGATCGGGAGACCCCATCCACGCTGAAGAGGGTATGTGGTGGTGCTGGAAGAGAACGTACCAATTTCCGTGACGAGACAAAATTAGCTTTAGAAATTCGTTTCTGTGGCTAATTTAGATTATCAATTCAATTGATAAAACCAAACTGTCTAGTAAAGCTACAAAGTTAAGTCAGATTGCATCTAAACGCTCGGAGACCTTAATAACGAAGGTCAAGGACTGTTCCATTAGCAACAGAATTCTCACCTGGATTTTCGCCAAAAGTTTGGTTTCCATTCCTTCAGTTCACCGCTCTACCAGGCAGAACGGAAAAGATTGAACAGAGCTACCAAGCACAGAAATGAAATGAAGGGGAGGGAAATCTCATTTTGAACTGTCTCAAGTGACTAGTATGTCTTCATGTATATATTTCCCATTATTATTTTCACCTATAAACAATCCTCGCGAAATTTAATCCCCCATACAAAATTCAAATCACAGAAAAAAACTATCGACATGTTATAACGATAACATTTACAGGACATGTATATCAACAAATACACAAATTGTGGTCTTACTGGTAAGTTCTATTTTGTATCTTCTGTTGTGAAATGACGTTAATTTGCAAAGAGTTAGCATATGGAGTAGAGAATCATAATCGCAAGATTAAAGCTGGGAATATCTTTCGAGTTGTTGTCAAAAGTTAAATGGCAGCCCATTTTTTACCTGAAAGTATTTCAATAAAAATTCCTTGACCTGCCTGTTGTGTTATTTTGTTGATTTGTGACCCTTGTGTGTAAATAAGTTAGAGAGGTACAAACTGAAAGAAATCACTTCATATATGCCTATTAATTAGAGCGAGTCAAGGAATTTTTCTTCAAATACTTTAGATAAAAATGCGGCATGATCTAAATCCCCATATACATTCTCTCTTGAAATGTATCGAGTTTGAGCTGCCTGTTTGGTAATCACAAAAACAAAACCCAATAAAATGCCGTCTCGCCAAAATCGCGAAATTATTTTGAGACTATATTGTCAGATTTTAGACACTAGCGTCCGAGTTTGGACGCTTGTTTCTGATTTTAGACACTAGCGTCCAATTTTAGATACTAGCGTCCGATTTTGGACTCTTGTTTCTGATTTTAGGCACTAGTGGCCAATTTTAGACACTGGTGTTCGATTTAAGACACCACTGCCTGACATTGGTGTTCGATTTGAATTTAAGATACTGCTGTCCAATTTTAGATACTAATGTCGGATTTTAGACACTAGTTAGTTAGTAGTTAGTTAAGCCCCTGGCTCCAGGCTGGAGCATGGGCCATCGACAAACTGCCGCCACTGACGCCTCTTTTCTGCCAGCTGTTGCAGCTCCCTCCAGTTCTTCCCGAGGACCTTCATCTCTTTTTCCGTATCCCTCTTCCAGGTATTCTTGGGGCGGCCCCTCTTTCATTTTTCCTGTGGATTCCAATGCAGGGCTTGCCTCGTAATGCTGTTTGAAGGTCTTCTCAGCGTGTGGCCTACCCACATCCATTTTCTCTTCCTCACTTGCTTGACCAT